AGAAATAAAGATAAGTGTGTAGCCATTAAATTGGGACTTTTATTTAACAATCCAGTGATCGAACTCGAGAGTGAGTTACAGGTAGACGATTTATCGAGAAATCCGTGACAATATTATTCCTGTTTCATACAATAAATGTTCTAGAAGCAATGTTTTGCTACAGATTTACTATATAAGGGCTGCCGGATTGTGCAGCAAAGACAGTTCTAGTTAGAATGTTGTCGTGATAAGAACAATTGAGACATAAGCAAGAAGTTGTAAGCTCAAATAACGAGCAATAAGTGTTAAGTTGTTGGAATAAGAAATAAAGATAAGTGTGTAGCCATTAAATTGGGACTTTTATTTAACAATCCAGTGATCGAACTCAGGAATGAGTTACAGGTAGACGATTTATCGATAGTTGATTATGGCAATTCATCGTCGATTCGATTTTTTTCTATCATCGGTGATCGTCATTAATTGTCCAGTTTACCTTAAATCGATTATTTTTTTATTAACGCGTGAGCGAAGTTAAGCAACGTAGGGTGTATTTTGAACAATTGTGAAAAAAATGTCGACTGAAAAAGGATATCGGTCAGATTTCAAGGTTTCGTATATACAATTTTAAAAATGTTAATAATATTTAAAGTTTAGTAACGGTTGAATTCGACTGAGAATAGAATCCTCCCGAATTCGGGGTTAAAATGTGTACATATAAAATATGTATGTATATACCTGTAGCTGACTTATGATTTTTGAGCATTTAAAATTTAAAAATAATTAAGTGCGTGTTTCCTGGATTTGTAATAAAGCTTATGTTAAGTGTAGCATCCCCTGCAGTCGGTTATGAAATGTGTAGGGGTGGAGTGAGGATGTTCCGGCCGAACAAATTTTATTTTACAATTTCTCGATTTATGGTTAACTTTACTTTTATATTATGCACTAACACTTCACTACAAAGTTTCTACATATTTATTTTATATTAAATATTTGGGTCGGCTTTAGAATAATGTCCCACGCTTTCGTGGATAAAATGGGTATGGCCGGATAGAGGAGATCCTCCAGATCAAGAATATATATAGATATAGCCGCGTTTAATTCAACTATTTAAAGTACGTATTTTCGCGATTTAAAATGAATTATACACTTATATTTTTCACTTTTATATCCACTAATCCGTTTTTAGAAATTTTTTTTATATTAGATGCTGGAAAAATAGCATTATTTCAATATTTAAATCATTCTTCAATTTTATTAATTTTGACAATAACAAAATGGTTGTGAATGTCAAAACATCAGTGTTGCCATACTGATATATTTTTTAAACGAAGAAAAATAAAATAAACAGAGATTGTACCCTAGATACAGGAAACAACACAAAAAGGAGTTCTGCGCAAAAAAACCTTGATACACCCCGGTGTTGGACCGACCAGGGTTATTTTTTTAAAACGCGTTTGAAGGCCGCCAACGCAAAAAGAAGTTCTGCGTGAAAAATATATTGATACACCCCGGTGTTGGACCGACCAGGGTTATTTTTTTTGAAGCGCGGCCGAAGGCCGCCAACGCAAAAAGAAGTTCTACAAGAAAAAAGTAATATTGTCATAGAGGGTATAACATAATACTTAACATCAATGCTTTGTAAATGTTTATTTCTCTAGGTTTTGAATTCCTGTATTTGGGGTATTATCTGTTTTAATTTCTTTCAGTTCAATTACAAAAGATGTCGATAAGGTAACACTGGTTATTTGAAATTTTGCAACCCTTTTGTTATTGTCAGAATTAATAGAATTTAACAATAATTTAATGATTGAATTAAACTATTTTTGCACTATATAATGTAAAATAAATGTGTACAAACGAATTAGTGAAGTGTTAGTGGATATAAAAGTGAAAAATATAAGTGTATAACTCATTCGAAATGGGAAAAATGCGTACTTTAAATAGTCGAAATTTTGAACTTTAAACCCAAATATCTCGAAAACTATAAGTTTCCCGTCTATATCTATATATATTCTTGATCTGGAGAATCTCCTCTATCCGCCCATACCCATTTTATCCCCAAAAGCGTGGGCCGTTATACTAAAGTTTTCCCAAATATTTAAATATAGTTTTCGAGATATTTGCATTTTAAGTTGAAAACTTCACAAATTTTATTTAACAATTTCTCGATTTATGGTTAACGTTTCTTTTATATAATGCACTTATTACACACTAACACTTCACTGCAATGTTTCTTCATGTTCATTTTATATTAAATATTTAAATATTTGCTTTAAATAAGCATTTTGTTTTTACACAATTTTCGTAATATGAACAATAACAAATGGGTTCCATGTTGCCAGTAATAAGTGATGCCATATCCAAACGAATGAAAGCAATCAAAATAAATAAAAAACTCAATCACCCTCTACAAAATATTACGAACTTAATTTTCCATTTTAATAAAAGAAAAAGGTTTTATGGCTTAAACGTATGTTTTATTGCATCTGATAATTTCACAAATGGATCATAATGCTGATTTGTTATATTTTTAAGCCATATGTATTCATATATCAAAATTTCAAAATCTTCACTGTTATTATAACTATCCTTAAAAAAAATTTAAGTTTATAGAGAGTGATATACCCTCTTTAACATTACTTTTTTTTTGTTAAGATTTCTTATTTGTACTGCAAATAACCCTGGTCGGTCCAACACCGTGGTGTTCATAATTCAATCGCGTCAAACTTCTTTCTGGCGGCCGCGCTTCAAAAACATAACCATGGTCGGTCCAATACTGGGGTGTTCATAATTCAATCGCGTCAAACTTCTTTCCGGCGGCAAATATCCAACCATACCCCTCTTAACCCTGAAATCGTGGGATGCTAAACTAAAGCTCACCCTTAAGTTTACACAATTTTCGTTATATGAACAATAACAAATGGGTTCCATGTTGTCAGATAATAAGTTTTGCTATATCCAAACGAATGAAAGCAATCAAAATAAATAAAAAACCCAATTACCCTCTACAAAATATTGCGACCTAAATTTTCCATTTGAATAAAAGAAAAAGGTTTTATGGCTTCAACGTATGTTTTATTGCATCCGACAATTTCACAAATGGATCATGATGCTGATTTGCTATATTTTTACGCCAAATGTATTCATATGTCAAATTTTCAAAACCCGTACAAGCTGTAACTTGATTAAAAATTGAGATATCTTTATGAAACTTGGTAGACATGTTTGTTGGTACCATGAGACGGTTGGTATTGCAGATGGGCGTCATCGGACCACTGCCACGCCCACAAAACGCCATTAATCAAAAACAAATAAATTGCCATAACTAAGCTCCGCAATAAGATACAAGACTGTTATTTGGTACACAGGATCACATTATAGAGGGGCATCTGCAGCTAAATTTTTTTTTTTTAAAGTGGGCGTGGTCCCGCCTTAAATAGGTTTAATGTGCATATCTCCTAAACCGCCAATGCTATAATAGCAAAATTCACTGGGAACAAATGCTTTTAGCACCTCTATCTACGGTATGAAAATGGGTGAAATCAAGGGACAACCCCGCCCACTCCCTATATAACGGTACTGTTAAAAACTACTAAAAGCGCGATAAATCAAGCACTAAACACGCCAGGGACATTAAATTTTATCAGGGATGGTATGAGATGACTTTATAGGAACCGCGTTCAAAATTAGACAGTGGGCGTGGCACAGCCCACTTTTAGGTGAAAACCCATATCTTGAGATCTGCTTAACCAATTTCAACAAAATTCGGTGCATGACGTTCTTTTCATATTTCTATGTCATAGTGCGAAAATGGACTACAACCACGCCTACTTCCCATATAACACCATTTTAAATTCCATCTGATTCTTTCACTTTCCACTATGCATATCAAGCAACAATGATTATATCGGGGTAAAACTTCGCGTGAATAATACGTTATAAGTATGCCACCTTGTGACCAAAAATTGTCTAAATCGAACCAAAACTGTTCAAGCCCCTAAGTACTAAATATGTGGACCCCAGTGCCTATAGTTGACCTTCTACCGAAAATATCAGCTAATCCACAAAGAAATCTCAAACGAGTATACCATTTGACTTTGCGAGAGTATAAAATGTTCGGTTACATCCGAACTTAGCCCTTCTTTACTTGTTTTTATTTAGATTTCTTATTTGCACTGGCGGCCTTTGGCCGCGCTTCAAAAAAACCACCCTGGTCGGTCCAACACCGGGGTGTTCATAATTCAATCGCGTCAAACACCTTCAAAATTAGTTTTGATTCCTCCTTAGTTGGGGGACCTAAACTACACATTTACCACATTTTCTTGTGAAAAAAAATACTGAAGAAATGTAACAGTCACAATTTCTTTTGCGCCGCGATCTGATGGTATGGACGAATATCGGAGATCGTCGAACTCCTTTCCGCACTGGCGGCCTTCGACCGCGCTACAAAAAAATTATCCTGGTTAGTCCAAAACCGGGGTGTTCATAATTCATTAGCGTCAAACTCCTTTCTGTACTGGCGGCTTTCGGCCGCACTTCAAAAAATTACCCTGGTCGGTCCAACACCGGGGTGTTCATAGTTATTTTGCACCGAACTCCTTTCAGCAGCGGAAAAAAAAATTAATTCTAATGTATCACAATTTTTTATTTAAATTGCATATGAATTAAAAAAACGGTTTTTTTTTTTTTTGGTTTTTTTTTGACAAAAAATAGAAATGTTGAAAAAATTCACTTTCTGCTCACGGATTTGTAATA